TTTTTTTAAATTTTATCCATCAATATTTTATTTATTTATTTTTATATTCAATTTGGTCTTTATTATTTTAATTACTATTTTCTATTATTTTCTTGATTTATTTTTCAATTTCACCCCTTGTCATTATATTTCATTTAATTTTTGTATCAAACTTGGTTCTTATTTTTTTTATTGTTATTTTTTTTTCTTGATTTATTTTATTTTTTAATTTTATCCCTCATTATATTTATTGTATTATTTATTTTTTATACTAGATTTGATCCCCTTTTTTATTGCTATTTTTTGCCTTTTTATCCTTTTCTTGATTTATTTTATTTTTCAATTTTGTCCCTTATTATATGTATTGTTTCTTTTATTTTTTATACTAGATTTGATTCTCATTATTTTTATTACTATTTATTTTCTTTTTTAATTATGAATGATTAGAAATTTTGCTTCATACTTTTTTTTTTGATTATGAATGATTAGAAATTTTGCTTCATATTTTTTTTTGTTTTTCTTTATGAGGTATTTGATGTCAAGACCAAAGCTACTAGCTTCAAAGATTATTCTAATTTAACTTCTAGTTTTTTTGGGTTTTTTTTTTAAATTTTATTTCTTTAATTTCATTCTTTAACGTTAGACTAGTGACTATTTAGTTTTATGATTTTTTTTTGTTTCTGTGACATGATCTCAATGTCTGTCCCGGGTCACGAGTTAGTTGATATTTTCTTACAATTAAGTTTTTTTTAGTGTTGTCATTCACCATTTAGTTTTCTAGAGAGTTATCCTCCAATTTAAAAATTAAATTTCTATTATAGTATCATGTTCTTGTAATCGAGCTATGAATTTAAATTTCTATTATAGTATCATATTCTTGTAATCGAGCTATGAATTTGACATACTAACTTGAATTAAGTTTTTTTTATTTTTTTATAAAAATAATTTTTTTTTAATTTGTCTCTCAATATTTGTTTTGCTGGTAATTGAGTTTTGAATTTTGTTAATTTTACTCTTTATAAGGCTATATTAATTTTTTATTCAATTTTTTCTTTGATATCAAATAAAATTATTGAAATCTTTTTTAGATATTTAAAAGGTATCTTTTATAATACTGACAAGCATTTATTGTTTTCAATTATTCATTGGCATGTTTTTTGTGTTAATGTTTTAATCATATTAGTAAATTAACTAATATTCTTAAATATATTTGAATCAATGATCTGATCTCAGATTTTCCTTAATCCTCTGAAAACACTATATTCTTTTATATATTAAAAAAATTAAGCTGAAATGTGACGAGTCAGACACCTATTTACTCAACTTTCCATGTTAATAAAATCGTCTTTATTATGTTGAATAATATATTCAAATTATTTTTATCACCCCCTTATTTTTTATGTTTTTTTTTCTGTCACTTTTCAACAAACAATACAAAAATAATTAGAGTGTATTTTTAATTTTATATTTTATTGGGTCATAGAGGCTTTCTTTTGATTTATCTACTTAAATTCAATATTATTTATTTTGGAGAAGTACATGCTTTTTCTCTTTTCTACTTGTTAACTCATGTAAACAATTTAAAACTAACCATTTAATTAAAATTATACATGTGAAAATTTATGGTATCGTTTGCGCAGCTAGATTTATTTAAATTAAAAATATTTATTTTAAAAATGTTGTTTTCACTTAATTAAAATAAAAATTAAAACATTTTTTTTAAAAAACCCATAATTTACCAAATAGGAGCCCTGCCCATATACGTGAATACTAATGAACACAGCCCGGTCTTCTCTTTTGAGTTATGGGTCATTCAATGTACACTCCTTAGCCCTGCCATATACAGATCCAATCAACTTCCGGCCTTCAGTCAAAAATAGAATTCTGGGCTTTTTTAGGGTTTTGTGTATTAAATGGTAAATGCATGTTTCGTATAATTTAATGTAATAAAATATGTAATATGATAAATTAATTAATTTAACGATTTTATTTATTACATTTAATTTGTTTGGTTGCAATTTTTTTTTAATAAAATAGTGGCCTGGATAGAGTTTCTTAATCCTTATAATTTCAAAAAACTTATTCTAATTCTTATATTTCATTCTTATTAATAAATTTGTCTTTATTTGAATTTTTTATCCTTACTGTTATAAAAATTATATTTTGGTATTCATTCTGATCCTTTTAATATAAATTAAGTCCCTAATTACTCCTAATCCTGATCATATAATGGCTCATTAACTAACTTTTTTTCAGTAAGGCTTGTAATATAAATAGTCATTAAAATTGTAAGCCTTCGCTGACAAAATGCGAAAACCCAAAACACTGTAACTGGCCCTAAACATTTTTTTCCCAAAATACTAATGATTGCTCATTACCAGAATTCTTAAATTTATTAATGAAATTTTTTATTGGTGTTTATATTCTCATTTCATTGGCAATGAATTTAAAATTATGCGATTTCAGTATAATTCTCATTAGTATTTTCAGTCTATAGGTGAGTCCGTCGTAATAAAATTACTAATGACAAAAGCAAGCAAAAAATATTTTACCCACCTCTTCTTATCAGTATTTTTATTATGAATTTTTTTATACAATTGAATAAAAATACAATATGCATTTTTGTCAATGATTAAATAGTGACACAAAAATATTTATATTAATTTTTTTCAACTCTTTAAAATATACCGACGAACTTAATCCATCGATGATAATATTATAAATTATTTAAAAATATATATTTTAAAAAAATTATTTAAAAATATAGATAATAATTAAAATAAATTAAATTAATATAAATCAATATTCAGGAACTGAGTTACTTTGAAAAATAAAGAAAAAAATCAATTCAAATAAATTTACAACAAAAAAATAACACAAAAAAATAAAAAATAACAAATAAATAAATTAACTAAAACAACATTTCCACTTAACTTAGAAAACATAGTCAAGAACCCATCTTCCAACAATAAATTAATTAATTTAATTGAAATTTAACAACAAAATTAAAAAAAGAATCCAACTAAAATGCAAAAAAAGATCTCATAAAAAAAACTCCTTCAATAATATTCATATAATTATTTAGAACTAAAATATAAAATAAAATAACAAATATAATGAAAAGAAAAGAAAAGAAAGTAAAAATCTTACTTTAATTTAATTGTGAGTGAAACTAAAAAAAATAATAATTAAAAACTAAAACTAAAAGAAAAAAGATAAAAAAAGAAGAAGACATAGAGCAGAAAAAAATAGAAGAAGATGAGTGGTGAAGAAAAAAAAAAAGTACTAGTATTCTTTTAAAAAAAAAAAAATTGAAGAAGAAGATGAGCGTCTATTATAAAATGAAAAATTCTAATTTTTTTATTAAAATATTTTATTAATAATTTTATCGACGAATAATTAAATATTAATATTTTTAAGTATTTTATCAATAATTTTATGTATAATATTTTATTAAGATTTTTCATTTAATAATTTTTTTTAAAAAAATCTCTTCAATATTACCAATAACTCTTCGATCAGTTAATTATTTAATTTATAGTATTTGATTTAATTTTTTAATTCAATAAAATTCTTTTAGGGAAACCTCCCAAATATCATATCACGCATTACTTAGTTTTTAGCTGTACTCTTTTCTTTTTGTGGAAAAATGGTGCTTTAAATTTATAGTTATAATACTAACCCCACCGTCTTGTTAGATGTTCATTCCATTGCAGGGGCCATTGATAACGCAAGATCGTGCTTCCTCTTCCACTGATGTATCAATCAGTCTCCTTCTTAATTAAAAAGCTTCAAGAAGTGGTTATAGACAGCGTCTGATACCTAACACCATAAAAGCCGTTTATGATCTCTGCTGTATATTTGAATATTTGGCTAGCTAAGATTAAAGATCATCCAATATATAATTTTAAAAAAATCCATTTTTAGTGCCCGAACACTCGCAATTTTGGCATATTAAATCCTGTGAATTTAATTGTGTTTCAGTGGATGGATTTTGTTGTTGTACGGTCATTGTCACCATCCTCATTTTGTTGGTTATGATGACATCAATGTGGTGTTCCCTCTAGTAGTTTGAGTCTTTAATAGTGTGACATCTACAAGTAATATAAAACCTTTTTTAGAATTTTATCTAATATTTATTAAGTTATTAGGTTAAGATAATTTTATAATAATTAAGATGTTTGTGGTCTTAATCTTACTATTTTTATTCTATTTAATTATGAAATCAAATATAAAACATAATAGATGCAATTATATGTAAGTTTACTCAACAGTTTCAATTAATTTATAGTTAAGTTTAAATTTACATGAGGTGAAGAGTAGGCAGTGCTGGTTATCAAAATCAAACAATTGTTGTTCGTACACGAAGTTCAAAATATAAATAACTTTGAAACACAGATTTTGATTTCTTGCCAGAAATTTTTATCATATTTTAATTCAATTAACAAAATTTTAAAATATAAATTATATTATTTTTTAATACATTTTTTAAATAAAAAATTTTTAAACTTAAAATTTATATAAATTTATTATTTTCTACTTAATTTTTATTAAATAAATATAAATAATAAAATTTAAATTTATAATTATTTAGTTATCAAAACTTCGATATTTATTATTTTAATACATAATTATTTAGTTATCAAAACTTCGATATCATGTAAAATAATTATTATTTTAATATGATACTGAAAATTTTTAAAATATAATTTATATTATTTTTTAAATAAAAAATATATAAATAATTACAAACAGTAACCGATTTCTCTATTTAGTAAGGAGATAGATTTCTGAAGGATGACAAACTAGAGCTTGCCAGCTCAAACTTGAAGAATCAAACATAACTAAAGTCCAATAAATAACAAAGTTTTAGACTAGCTGTCACTGTTACAACTACAACAAAGTCCACGACTATACACGGAAATACGTTGGCTAACACCCTCGTTCTCTGTCAAACATCACCACATTAATGACAGCAGATAACAACCATCTTTCCATGGTAGCTTAAAATCCTCATCTGGTTTTCATTCATTGCTCAAACTTCGCAACAGAAAGAGAGAAAACAAACAATCACATACATAGAAAGATGGTGAACCTTGTGGCAGCACAGATGCCATTATTGCATGGCCTAATGAAAATGGCAGGAGTGCAACCTCACCGCGTAGAGATTGAGCCTGGCACGGTAATGAACTTTTGGGTTCCAAATGAAACCATCAAGAAACCTCAAAAAGGTGAAAAGGACAAGAACCCAACCTTAACCAAACCAAACAAACCTGTAATAGTTCTAGTCCATGGCTTTGCTGCTGAAGGTATTGTCACTTGGCAATTCCAAGTTGGTGCCTTGACCAAAAAGTATTCAGTCTATATCCCTGACCTTCTTTTCTTCGGTGGCTCAATCACTGATAAAACAGACCGTTCGCCAGCGTTTCAGGCTGAAACATTGGTGAAAGGTCTAAAGAAGTTCGGAATAGAGAAGTGTATTGTAGTGGGGTTTAGCTATGGTGGCATGGTGGCGTTTAAGATGGCTGAGTTGTATCCTGACCTGGTTCAGGCCATGGTCATATCTGGTTCAATCCTGGCAATGACTGACTCGATCAGTGAAGCAACTCTAAGTGAACTTGGGTTCAAGTCCTCCTCGGAGCTTTTGCTGCCTAATTCTGTTAAAGGTCTTAAAACACTACTTTCTGTTGCTACTTACAAGAAGCTTTGGTTCCCAAATAGGCTTCACAAAGACTACCTTGAGGTTTGTTAATTTGCATCTTCTACGGGACTTGATTGGATTTTCTATCCATTATTATTAATTTTTCTTTTTGGCACTTGCTACATATAATTATTGGACCGAAAGTCTTTATTTTAATAAACAATTTTGCTAGCGAGCTTTTGCAACAAGCACTAACTGAAGACTTACAGGTGATGTTCACTAACAGAAAAGAGAGAGCTGAACTTCTAGAGGGGTTAGTCATCAACAATAAAGACCCCACAATCCCTAGGTTTGTACAGGTAACTTCAGTACTTAATTCCTCGTGTTTATTGCTCCTAATGCATATGTTTAACATGATCACTGCCATAATTAAATGTTGCAGAAGATACATCTCTTATGGGGGGAGAACGACCAAATCTTCAATCTGGGGCTCGCACAGAACATGAAAGGGTATGTCTTGCAACATCTATAACTACTTGGTAGATGTTAACCGCAAATCAATGAATCATACTGAACGTATATGGTGATTAGCTGATACAGACACGAACACATGCAAATTGGAGGATAATCGTCAAAACACAAGCAAAAGAAAGAGTGCAAAGGCAACAAAAAAGTGCAGCACACTAATGGATTTGTTTTGTGATTACAGGCAACTAGGCGAGACGGCTACATTTCAGGGCATACGGAAGGCAGGCCACTTAGTTCACCTGGAACGTCCCTGTGTCTATAATAGATGTCTCAAGCGATTTCTTACTTCGTTGCTTGAAAATGGAGTGCAGAAGTGACAAGACAACAAATATCTTTCATTTTGCCTTCATATTTACTGCACTTTGCACTACTCGTTGGTGTTCTAGGTATGTTACGTCTACTGTCAGGAAAATTGTTAAATGCATTTTACTGAAATTTTTACTTCCTTTTCTCCTTTCTTTATTTCGTTTTTTCCTTTTAACAGAACAAATGAACACTAGAAAGAAAAGAAAAAAATACGTGTACATTTCAATCAATTTTCACAAATAAAATCAAACCAGCTCACATATGGTGAGCAAACAGTTCCATCTGAACGACGATTGTATTTCTTCTAGAGTTTTTCCTTTGGTTTTCAGGGACCCAGAGAGACAAAAATAGTGAAGGTCCCTGTTGACAGAGCAGTGGATTCATTGGTTAGAAATTAGAATAATAATTGTGTGCCACACACATGTACTCACACACTAAGCGAGAGAGAGAGAGAGAGACATAGGGAGAGGGAGACCTGCACTGCTCCAAGTCATGAGCAAGTTTGCAGTCCTTGTTACAAGCCAGGACTCCAGCCGATGTTGCAACACTGCCAGCAAGGCCCTTTATGTTCACTGGGAGAACCTGAAACGAGCCAGTAAAAATTCTGCTCACTTGAAGAAAACAATTCATGAATAACTCTTTCACCATCACTAAACACATAAGTAAACTTCATAAGCTGACAATCTGACTGTAGTTCCATCGCATTCTAAAACCAACATTTAATATAACTATCATGGGTGGAGGGGTTAAGAGCAAAATCATAGCCCTCCAGTGGAAGCACATGGTTGATATAAAGTAAGAAGTTCTGGATACCTCAGACATTATGATCCAAGGAATAGTTAGCTCCAGGTCCCAAGGAGAAGAAAACCACTGTTAGGGATTCCAGACCAGTAATGTTACGATAATTGTTTATTAGAAACTAAATATAGTGACATCACCTATATCCATAAAAAAAATCAGAGATAAAAAAATAATATAATATAAATATATAAAAAAAATTATATCTATTTTATTCAACACCTAATTTTCATTGCTATACTGATGCAATGGCAGTAGCCATTACAGCCACTTTTTTTCCCCCCTCTTATTCTCCCCCCCCCCAGCCACTTTTTTTTCCCCCTCTTATTCTCCTCTTTCTCTAACCCTTACTCACTTTGCTCTCTATATTATACTTTTATTTATAGGTATTAAAATGACAAGACAAGTTGACCATAAATTATGATATTAATGATAGAAAGTCAGATGCTTGATGAACGATAAACTTTAAAGCAATAGTAACCGGGAATGCCTTCGCCCAGCCCAGCCCAGCCCAGCTTTATCCATAAACCATGAAGCGATCCCAGTGGCTACGACCTACAAAAGAAACAGCTACTTATCATATAACCCAGTTAAGAATTTCTCTCAAATTTTGGATGCCTGCAAATTAAGTTACAATTTCCCTTTTCTTCTTAGGATTGTATCGAAGAGGACATCTATCTATTCCACTACTTCACCAAGCTAAAGCCCAAGGGCAAATGGAATCATAGCTCCAAGTCCAAATGTAGCAATATTGCTTGAGGAAATTCCTGTCAAGATTATGATAGTTTAGCAAACCATCAATTTAACCTTTTGGAATTTAGTTCACTAGCATAACAAGATAAAGGAATGCGTAGAGTAGCCTTAGAGTAATTTTGGATTGTTGACTTTTAAGAACTATATTTAGTTGGGATTGATTGGCCTGAAAAAAAGCAGGTTCTTCCCGTGGCATGATTAGGTTATATAAAGAGCCATCAAAATGATATGTGCAATCAATCCTTGAAATACTGTCCTGACATGAGACTGTACAAGGACATAACACCTGCAGCATTTGCAAGGATGTTGCTAGACTAGAAAAAGATCCCATTGATACCACTGAATTGCAGGAGCACAAGTAATCCAATTCCCACCTGCAGCATACCCACCAGTATCAACAGTAGGGTTCTAAAGTTGCAGAGGTAAGAAAACAGTAATCTCAAACTACCGTCAAAGGAAACAAATATCTTCTTTGATTGAAATCTGCAAACCGAATTGTTGTTCTTTTGCTAGAAGATGCAACAGCTCTATGCAGAAAGCATACCGATGAAATTGTATTTATTGATGACACAGTGAACATGAGCTAAAGGTGCACATGAAAATTGCAGTAGTTATTGTAGTTATTATTCGAAAAAAAATATTTTAAAAATTCATTTTTAATTATTGGTAGTTGGGTTAAAATATATATATTTAATTAAAAATATGATTAAAATTATTGTTAAATAAAAAATAATTAAAATGTATTTAATTAAAACTGTTGTTATTAAAAATATTATAAATAATAAAATAACAAAAAAAAACATGTAATAATTTTATAGTTATTGAATTACATTATTATGTATTGGATTATTAATATGTCATTACCATTAAGATTATATTTTTATTGTTGTATTAGTTCTAATTACAATCTCATTATGAATATAATTTATTCAAAAAGATGTTTTATATTTGTTATTTTACTAGCTTATAACAATATCGGTTAAAAAATCTTTTTTTCTCTATTTTTTTTTAATTATAGCTAACATTAAAGTTATTAGAGACTTCAAACTTGGTTAGCTGTAAAAAATGAATAACATTAATATGCTCAAGGTATTAAAAGTTTGTTTTGAATGTAATGTGTGTGTATATATATATATATGTTATCTAATAGTTCAACCATACCATGAAACTTGACAAACATTCTCATTCATGTATTTGGCATGCTTTCCTAGCTATACTTCTTACTACTACCTTTCTAGCATCTATCAATTTCTTTTTAATTACCTTTTTGTTAAAGTTTTTGCTAAAGTCTGGTATAGTGCTTATCAAAAGCCCATGGTGGTATGTTTATTGCCAATGGTTCTCTCTTTTTTTTCATCAGCAAAGAAAGGTATACATTAACGTTATTTTGATCTCATTATATAAAAAATTCTCTTTTATTTTGAAAAAATAAACTTGTAAAGATAAATTAATAACTGAGATCAAATCTCAGTTAAAGCAAATTAAAGTTGCTTCATAATAATTGAGGTCAGACCTCAGTTATGGGTGAGATTCACTATTTAAATTGCAACTTTTTTATAATTAACCAAACACTATATTTTTATGGTAGAAAGGAAAAGCAAATGCAAACTCATTCTCAAACAGATTGTAAGCCGTCCCATCATCAAGTCAATTTAAGTCTATAAACTCAAAAAAAAAACCTTTAAATCAAGTTATAATCAAATTAAAAAAATATTTATTTATTAAAGCATTTTAAAATAATAAATTTTTTATTATTAATAATAAAAAAATTCTTTGTTATTTAAAATGTTAATGCTTCTTACTTGTATAATTAAAATGCATATGATATGTCTTTGAAGATTTCAATAACATTATTTTAGTTTAGATGTATTTTGAATAGAATTTTAAAATAAAAAAATATAAAGCTCAAATATTTTTTAATAATATAAACTTAAACTTTATATTTAAGAGGAAAATAAAATAATAAAATAAAAATTAAACACTAAAGTATGAAGTGAGGAAAAGTATAAAACCCTGAAAAATTCTCAGATTAAACTCTTTATTCACCTTAATTTTTATAAAAAGCTAAAAAATTTAGAATTAATTAATTATCACTATTATCAACATTTAATTAGTCACCATAAATAAAAAATTAAATATAAAAACACTAAATGTTATTAATTTATATTCACACATAATTTATTTAATTAAAACAAATTTCTTACCATGATAACAAAAGGTTCATTTTCTGAACTATTTAATTATGGCTAACATTAAATATCATGTAAATAAGCACTGTTTTAACAAATTAAAGTAGTTTACTTCTTCATTAGAACTGTTGCAAGAAATAAAACTTTTACAGACTTCACATACATTAGTCATTCTTGCTCAGTTCTATGCTCAAATTAAGACTTGTCGATAGCATTCCTCGTTCCTTTTCCGACACCAAATCCTTCCAACAAGCTTCCCATGAACAAAAATGAGGAATCCTATAAAACAAATATATAATAAACTAAACTAAAACTATTCATTCTAAAGACGCGCACAGCACTCAAGGAAAAGCCAAGCCTTATCATAAATAACTCACTTTAGCTGAAGATATGCTTAGCCATCCAGACGTTACATCAGGCACCGCCGCGACCATCAATGATTATTTCAGGGCAACACAACAATGCAGCAATTCGAAGATTCAATTCACAGGTCAAGACTCGAAAATGTATTAGGTCTTTCAAATCCTTAATCATAATTAATTTGATTTTGACAGATAAATAGAAAATCTATTACCCCTTAATTTCCGACCAATATATGCTTCAAGCTGGCCACTTATTAGAGCACCAACCACAGCACCATCGCGGAGCATCTGAGCAGAGGAGCTCATGATGCTTGACTGCGCCTAGAGCTCATTTTATACCGACTCCCTGTATGGAGCGAAGGTTTCTAAGCGGATCTCTTGCATCTTCCCATTGTTTATATAACTCATGATTGCTTGATCAATAATAAAAGATTAAAAATAAAAAAAACTTAGTGGCAGTATTCTTCCTAGATGGTATGCCCTCTGCCTTACACAATTATTCTCCTCGCTGCTCTACAATCTTTGTTTGAGATGAAAATCTTCAAACTGCATGGCGTTATGATGCACCCAGCATAGTGAGATAAATTAAAAGAGAAAGGTCTTAAAGCACGAATAATTTCATTTAAAAAGGCCATCGCACAGTTGATTCAAGTGATGTAAATACAAATACACATCACCATTGGTCTTAAAGGAATGATTCGATGTTTCAAAGGTTTTACATCAAATCTAATCTGAAACATGAATATGAATAACTGATGATTAACTAATATCATGATTAATTTAATTTAAAATTTATAAGAATTTTAATATTAATAAAAAAATCTTAGTTAATATAGAAATTATTGATGAAGAAAGATTTATAATAGATCGGTTTATTAGAATGTTAGATTTTTTATTATATTAAAATTTTATTTTTTAATTATTTAGGACCTGAGGTTTATAAATAGATTTATAATTATAAGCATAATACATAATTATAAAAAAAATGCTAAAAAATTGTATGTTTAACGTTATTTTTTCCCCAACAAGAATCATAGGTAT